AAAAAACAAGGACTTCTTGAAGTTTGCAGGCAAATGGATGGAAATAGAAAACACTATCCTGAGTGAGGTAAGCCAGACCCAAAAAGAGGAACATGGGATGTACTCACTCATATTTGGTTTCTAGCCATAAATAAAGGACATTGAGCCTATAATTCGGGTTCTTAGAGAAGCTAAATAAGAAGGAGAACCCAAAGAAAAACATATAGGCATCCTCCTGAATATTAACTCATTTTTGAAAGCACCTACTGTGTGATATGCATCCAATCTAGACGTAGGCAATATGAATATAAGGTAAGGTAAGTATGTCTATCTACACAAATGTTGTATGTTACAGGAAGATAGATCTCAACAAATAATTATGTAACTCTTCTTTTTTTCTTTACAAAATGAGTGCCCAAGGTTGTTTTAGGTAAGAGATAAACACAAATTTAAAATAATATATAGACACTTGCTTTCCTCTGTCCTGAAACAATTAACTAGCATCTCAAATCTAAGATTTCATGCATTGATTTATTCAACAGATGTTTAATTCATTCCTGGTATGTGACTGGAAGTGATGAGGAATAGATCAAAGTCTGATCTCAGGGAATTTGTAAACAAAGCGTAGATAAATGAACAGAGCACCACACAATGCTGTAGTTCATCAAGCTAATAAAGCAAATTTAGAAGCATTTATCTGGGATGGTGTGAATAAAAGCTGCTCTAAGGAGCTGGGATGGTGCAGAAGCCAGATAAGACCAAAGCACTGATTATTAGAAAAACATTCTAAGCACATGACTGTGTACAAAGGTCCCATGGTTAAAGTACAATTGTCATTTTTAGTTAACAGAGTAAAGACATTCACACAAGAGAGCAGGGGTAGATAGAAAGAGTAGGAATAGAACACAACCTAAGATTTACCATTCAGAAGAAAATGGATATTTAAAAAACCCAGCTATAAAATGACAACAAATGATGAGTAAATGGGAAAGAGGAACCCTATTTACTTTTATTTAAAAAAAAAGTGAACTAGTGCGAACACTGTAAAAATCAGAATAGACATTTTTACAGAAATCTAAAAATAAAATTACAATATGACTCAGGTTACAACTTGTGGTCATACCAGAAAGACTCACAGTCCTACCACAGAGATATCTTCACATCGATATTAACTTGGCATTATTAGCTGTAGCAAAGAAATTGAACTAGAATAGACGACCATCAATGAATGAATGAAGACATGTAATGCATATAAACAGTGAAATCTTGTAGTCCTGAAGGAAAAAGTTACATCAACAGGGAAAATTATGAAACTGTAAGCAGTTAACAGAGAGAAGCCAGACTTTGAGAAACAAATTTTTCTTGTTTTCTTTCTCATATGGACTTAGACATACAGAAAGAGAGAGAGAGAGAGAGAGAGAGAGAGCGCACATGTGCATCAGGGTTATGAAACTAGACATGACACCATAGGGAAGAAGGAGACCAGTCAAAGAGGGTGAGAGGTTGGAGAGGATGGAGACGGAGGGGATGAAGGGATGGGGAGATGGGCAGGATGGAGGGGGTGGAGGGGATGGAGAAAATGGAGAAGATAAAGAGGGTGGAGAGGATGGAGAGAATGGAAAAGGTGGAAAGGATGAAGAATATGGAGGGGATGGAGAGGATGGAAAGAATGGAAGATGGAAGTGGAGGAGAAACAAGAGTTGGTTATTAGGTACACATTTACTTCCTTTTACCTGAGGTGATTAAGTATAAATGGAGCTTTTAATATATGCTCAATCTATTCAGAACTATTATGGAAATTAAATAAATAATGCAAATGCAATTTGTAAACCACAAAACCCAATATATTATGAATAAAGCATTTACATATATATTGTGACATGCTTGATCCATTAGAAGCCTATAGGCTCAAAGGAATTGCTCTCTCCCCTTTATCTGAATGACTAACTGGAGGACCAAATACTCATTTGAAAAAAGATAATTACAAATCTATTTTAAAATTAATTCACAATGACCTACTTGAGGGCTTTAAGAAATGAGAATCATGTCTTAATAATGCCAGCAGCCTGAGAGGCGAAATCAGCACCAGGGCACAAATAATGAATGAGCGAAATGCTGTAAACTGTGCCTCTGGGATTTCTGCCCAGAGCTGTATAATTCTGTATATAAGGAATGCTATTCAATCTTTCCAATGTCCCAAGTTTTTAGAAATATAGTTGGGATTTATAAATCCTAATTCAGTGCCTCACATATTATATGCTATAAACACTTAGAAGAAATGGATAAACATACATACAAAAAGTTTAAATGTGTCTCAAGATTTGCACATCTGCTCACTTTGTCCTCATCAAGAAGTTATTTCATCAAACAGCCCCTAAATTTAGCATCCAGATTTCTGTTTTAATAATACAGATATGCTAATATTCTAAAGGCATTTTGGATAAAACTCACTTCAACAGACCACCCTGAGCATTACTCTGAACAGTCCTGAAAGTTTTACATATTCATAAAGTGTCAGCTGATACATATTTGGAGACATGAAATTAAATTCTATTTTGGTCCAAATAAATGGTAATGTCGTGATTCACGTTACAGGCTAATTCCTGTTATTTGTCAGCAAGGCATTTCCTGCTAAGACATAGTCCCATACAGAACCTGAACTTCGTGCAAGCTAGAGTATCAGTTCCCTCTTCTTTTATCTCAAAATTACACACACACACACACACACACACACACACACACACACACACACACACCATAACACTGTCAAGAAACAAAGGATTCATACACATGAGGAAAGAATATTCCTATAGGTTTTCCTCCCACTATCCATTTGTTTGCTTCAGATAAATCCACTCAACTTTCATAATGATCTTGAATCATTTAGGATTTAACTATAGGGAGCTGTCTCAAAGTTGGTGTAATTCCCGGCCTGACCACAATCCTAATCATCAACCACAAAAGACAGATTTAGAACATCAAAAGTAAAACTAATTCTTTTTCAATCTTTTAAAAACTGAAATAAACCCACTGTATCTTGCTTGTCCTACCAACTCCAAGCAAAATATAAATCTAGAAAGAATGTGAAAGTTTTTAATCTGGTGATCATTGGAATTAAACATCAGTTATGTGAAGACCATGGACAAGAAAGAGAAGGAAATGCGAAGTAACCACTACAAGGGTGATATTATTATTTTAATTTTGTCTTCATTGTTTTTTATTGAATTAACATACATGCAGGTACACACATGCCCACACACAGAGATGGAAGCACATAGCCCTAAATAACTGGAAATACATGCTTTATTCATGATTTCAAGGGTGAATATTATTAAGCTATCATTTTCCCTGAACTTAATCTGTAGATTTGACTCAATACCATCATTAACCATGCTGTCCCCATATGGGGTCTTTTTGTTAATATTAACAAGATGTTAAAATTCATATGCAAAACAAAGGAATGAGAATAGCCAAAATAGTTGGGCATTAGGGTGCAAGACTTTAACCCAGAACTCTGGAGGCAGAAGCGGCAGATTGCTCTGAATTTGAGGCCAGTGGGGTACAGAATGAGTTCCTGGATATCCGAAAACAGAGCTGTTACACAGAGAAACCTTGTCTTGAAAAACAATGCATAAAACAAACAACAAACAAAAAGAATAGTCAGAATGATTTGGAAAGGAAATAACAATATTGAAGGATACAGGATGGGTTTAAAGATTAAGAATGAAAGTAGACTCAGATATGTGATGATAGCTACAGAAACATAGATCAATAAAACCTAAGAGCCTAAAAATAACCAAAAACACCTGTATTTTTACTTGATGTTCAACATAGGAACCGATGTAATCAATTGGAGAATGTATAATCTTTTCAGCAACTGTCCAATTTAACTGGAATATTCATATAAATACTAGTGGACTCATCCTTCTGGAATCCTATGTCCAAATAACACATTCTCCTATGAGCTATCTTCATCACGATAGTCTATCACAACAATTAAAAACTAACACACAAAGTATGACATACAAATGTGTTTATATACACATGTACATATAAATATGAAATTGTCAAAATGAAATTCAATCATTTGGATGCTATCCTAATAGAGTAATTTTAAAAATTAAAAAGAGAAAAGATACATTGCTTTCATGTAATATAACATAACTAAGCAATAAAAAAACAAACGTTGTGTAATGTATCACTGATTAATGAATGCAAAACATGAAGTGAAAGAACTGAGACCCAAAGGATTCAGATTATACAACTAAATTCCTATGACATCCTGGGAAAAGTAGAACTTTGGGGAAAAAGAAGGGTATTACTTAGGGATCCAGTATGGGCTAGGAGATGGTTTCAGTCCAGAGGTAACATCAGTGATTTTGAATGACTCCTCTGTATCTCTTTTGCTTGACTAGTTACAGAATTTTAGGACTTTCTGAAAACTGCAAAATCTATTCTTACATGAGTGCCTCACTTTGCATGCCAAT